TGTGTGTGATGAGTATAATATATAAAAAAATTACTTTTTTATTAAAAAAATTCAACAGAGAAGAAAGTATTAATTTAACGAGACATAACCACCTTCGTTAAAATTCAAACGTAATTCTAATTCAGGTCTGCAGGAGACGGCAGGGAAGTCAGGGAATCTGACATCCGAAAAACAGTAAATATTTCCTGAATATTCCTGGAGATTTTGATACGTCTGACTAGATCTCATTTTTCTTGAAAAGGGTAGGTTGATTCCTTAATTGTCTACACCATCTGGCTAGCAAAATATATTATATCTTGTTTCTCCTTTCTCTCTACTGTCGGTGTCATATCTATTCCACACAATGAGGGAAAAGAAGATACAGAGAATAAAATGACTTAACTACATTCACACAAGTTAGATAACTCACCACCGTTTCTTATATTACTTTTGTCAGTAATATATATATATATATAGTAATATTTGAATATATATATATCAGTGTTGCCGCAATGAAATTTCAAAACGTACTGAAGCGCCTTCAAAAAATGTACTATTTTCCTTCAGAATGTACTAGTTCTATGAATACTTTGTTTACGTACCTATATATATATATATATATATTGCCACGTAATTTATATATATAGATATATATATAGTTTATTGTCAAATAATTTAATTTTAAATCTTATTTTTGGAATGTTTTGAATGCTATTTAAAATTAAAAATATATCTACACATCTATTATTTATTATAAAATAAGCATTACAATGACAACATTTATTAATAATACTGTTGAATTTCATCTTAACTTTATAACCAATCGTGCTTGAAAAAATAATTATAGATTTGTTATATTATATTATTTTATTCTTTATTATACTTTAAATTTTTTTGTTGTTATTGCATCACTTTACGAAGTGGTATATACGTAATTGCATCAGTTTTAGTACCTATTTAATTAACTTCAATCCTGACAGCAAAAGATAAGGATGCTTGTTTTTTTAAACTATTTGATGAAAACGTTACATAAAATTGGGGTTGCATAATCGTCCGAAATTATTATTATATTTTTGACTGGAAATTACAGGATTTATGCAATTTTAGTTTAATTAATGTCATATAAAACTGACTGCTCGTACAAGTTTGCTTAAAACAGCAACTAAAAAAACCCCAAAATGGCAGCTCAAGAAGTAGATCACGCGTGTCCTGACCTTCTTATATAGACCTTGGAACAGTCGGAAGCGCGGCCATTTTGGAACCATACGTAACATTAACCCTTATTTCTTTTACTACGATTACTAAAATTGAAGTTCATAATTTAAGAATTAAATTATAGTGGTAGAAAATAATATAAAAGTATTTATATTATTTATACTCATACAATTTCAAAACTATTTTCTGTAATAATTTGTTTCTGACTTAACGGATATTTTGATATTATTGACGACAATAGTTTAAAATCATTGATTTCCTTACCTGTTCATTATTTTTGTTTGACGAAGTTAAATTGTTTGGACCACGTGGCATGAAACATTTTGTCAAGGTCCTGATGAGAATGTGCAGACAACTGAACATATGAAAGAAGACCACTGACAAGGGAACTGTCGGAGTGTCTTCTAATAAATTTTAACAAAATTTAGTTAATAACTACGTTAAAAGTATACAAACTATATTTTAAATTTCTAGCATTCACTAAAAGTGTTGATCAGAGTTATTAGCAATCAAATGTTGTACTACTTTATAGTAGTTTAACACAGTTATGCAAATTTTTAGAAGTGAAAGGGCCGCGGAGGAAGACGGCGATATTACATTTAGAATAAATTCTGGAATTTTCAGAAATGGTTGAAGAATTAATGAAATTTAGTTAATAATTATGTTAAAAGTAAACAAAATTTTATTAATTTACTTCAAAAATTGGATAATCTATTTCATATAAGGCATCTTTGAGAATTTGATTTGGCTTCTCACATCACGACATTACAAAAGCATGCGTCATATATCCAGGGAAATTCACAGAAAATCCAACGCACAAAATCAAGCTCATCATAGAAAATATATTTACATTCACTTCCCATAAACTCATAAATCCCAGAGTCTCGATTATTGTGGAAATGACAGATATTGCTACCAATACAGCGCAAAATATATTTGGAACGAACAAAAAAATATTATAAGAATAACAACATTTTTACCCAAATTAACTGAATAACAATAGCTTTATGAATAATTCTCTGTTCAATTAAATCTGAGACCGGAGAGTGCATCGAAACTTGGAACGGTGCCTTGTCCACAATATCCATCACATCATTTAGTAAATTCATCTCCGATTCTCTATCTATCACATTTTTAGCCAGAACGAAAAATCGGCTTAACAATATATCAGATTGGTCTTCATTAAAAACTATATCAGTTGAAAATTCATCGGCACCTTTTAATCTCAGAAAAATATTTTAAAGTCTTTCTAAAAAATCTCCTTTATTAGACAAGTTTTATCCCCGTAAGGAATATTTTGAAACAGAGTGTTCCTAAAATTCTTTGTAATATTTCAACTAAGAAACAGTTGTTGAGGATGAGATTCGAAATTCTTCATCATGGTGTCAATTTTCTCTTGTACATTCTAATCAGAATAATCGACTGTTTGGTTAATAATTATCAGAGCTGTGGAGTCGGAGGCGTGGAGTTTTGGTATTTTATCCAGAGTCGGAGTTGAGTTTAATAACGAGACCAATTAAATTAAAGCAACAAAACAAAATTTAATGTGGACCAAAATATGAAAGGCAAATTAATCGACACATAAAGAGATGCGAGACCTCTATTCGATCGCGAGAGTGAAACAGCTTACAACAACTTAGATATACTATCTCAACGGTAGGTCTGGATAGAAGACTTCTTATTCAAACCTGAAACGAAGATAGCGTATTATTGCGGCGAACGAGGGTCGTGGAAAAAGATAAAGACGTTGGACTCGTACACACGAGAATATTTTTCGAAAACTATCTGAATCAAAGGAAATCGTCCTTTTTAACGTCAACTTCTCGTCCAATAAAAATCATAGGTTTACGTTCACAAACAAGGGGTAGATACAAAGATGGTTGTCAAAGTGAGAGATAAGAAAGTGTAAAAGAGAAGTTGACTTTCCCTTTTGGCACAAAAGTGATAGATGTGTTTTTCGTTAATCAAAACAACACGTAGAAGATATATATATATATTTTTTTTTTCACAATAACTGAAGAGAAAAATTTTGCTCCGATGTAAAACAGTATTTTTACTTTTTCTCAATCGAAAAATAAAAGAAACGTCTTCGAATACGATGCAGATTAAGGCCGTTTCCTAGATCGATTTCTTAAACTCTACATTTTATTATGTAATTATATAATATCCGTTCCGATTCTCACATTATTCACATTATTTTATATTTATTAATTTTGAAATTTGACAAATTCACAATCGCTTAAATTATATTTGTGAACGATATAATAATCTGATTCAACTGGCAAAATAGAAAATTCAACCGTGGTTTATTTTAAATGACTTTGAATCAGAATTCTTAGCTTTAGCTTCTTAACATTTTCCAACAGTAAACAACAGGCGTTTATTGAGAAGTGTTTTTGCATATTGTTCTGAGTTACGCCAATAATATTTGTCATGTTATATTATTCGAATAAATGCAATTTTTAATGTTTAAATTATATTTTTAAAAACAATATTTATTTTGCCGAAAATATCAAAATTACATTAAGTATAAAGTATTAAATAATTACATCTTAATAATAAAGACGGCGATGATGCAATAAAAAAGTTATAATGTTTCCTATAGAAAAAATCGCTCGAAAATAATATAAATTGTCTGACGTAGTCATGTAAAAATTAACGGACATCGTTGTCAACAAATTCCTTAACAAATTAAATAGACGATGGTATAAATTAAAAAGGATTTTAAAAGTTCTTGTGTTGCACTGAATGTGATTATATGTTTTGTTCTATACACAACGGTATACAATATTTTCAAATAAAATTCGGTGTGTAAGCAATTCATCCTGTATCACCATTGTTAGATATTTTCTGCCAAAAGTTCATTTATAAGTTAGAAGGACCAGAGCAACACAGTGTTATAATTGGAATTTTCTTACTTTGTAGTTTACGTGGTAAGTACAATTGAGGACAAACTTTTAAATTTTTTCGGGAATAAATGTAGGAAATTAATTTTCACAATTTAAAACTAAGAAAATAAATTTATGTAAATAGACGTCATGTTATAATTCATTTAATAAGGCGAATTCTTAGCTAACTCGTAATATATAAAGTCTTAGAATATTAAATTTAAAAATTGTCAACCGATATTTGATAAAAAAAATGTAAAATGTAATTTTAATGTAAAAAATTGAAGATCTACTAACTTCCGTTTTGCAGATTATTTGGAAAAAGATTTTCACATACAATTTATTCACTTGTAATGTGTTGAAGGTTTGAGCTTTTCGGCTATACAGCGACCCGCTTACTCTTTTGACTAGGGGGGTGCCTTCCGCGAGGGGTTTTTAAGAGAAAATGGCTTCTATTTAAATGTTACAGACGTGAAGAAAACCTGGAAGCGCGAACTCACGACCGAACTCCCAGTGTTCAGAATACAAACACCGCTCGGCCATTGGTGGGCCACTTTCCAAATACAAACGTAATGTAATTTTTCAGGACATCACGTGTATAATTAAAGAGGTAACGATTAGTCATAAATGTTAAGACGAGACGAAGAAATAGCGAATGAGTGCTGTTTATTAAATTAATAATATAGAATAAGAACCAAGTTTGCATGCTATCGATTTTATTTTCTTAATTGTTCATACTACATTGTTTAAAATTTATAATAATCATGACATTGATTTAAATTTAAATTAATGATTTAATTATTTTTATTAGAATATATTTATATTACTTATTAATTATATTTGTCGTCGCTTTATATATTATTTAGATACGGGNTCAGTGAATGAATGAGTGAGTCAGTCAGGACAAGCAATTTTATATATTTAGATTTAGATATGGGGTCTGGCTCTAAATGATATTTATATTCCGATCGTGCAGTATTTACCTCGTATCCCATCTCTAATATTTGTTAGAACGTTGTTAATCTCACTGAAACTATTCAGACATCTAGTTTGGTCTGTTTTGTCCCTAGGAAGACTTCCGACGAAATCTCCGAGGCAATCCACAAATGGTTTAAAAGTATCGCTCAGATATTGTTGACAACGGAGTTTACCAAGCTCGTGGAACACGCACTCTAAATTATCCGTAAGGTTACCGATAAAGTTGCAGTAATCCATATTAGGTGACGGAGTAAACCCTGGAATTTGGCGATTACCACACGAGGAGCAACTTTCTTCACGAGCATCCTTTCCGGAAAGTAATTTGTCAATTTCCCTTAGAATGAAACTAATGTATAAGCCAAGTTCTTCAAGTTCCCTTAAGCATTTTTCCAAATTAGTTCCAAGCTGAAAAAATATACATGTATATATATTTGTAAATGCTGAATGTCAATCCTATTTCAAACATAATTTAGAAAAATTATTAAACATAATTAGACTAATTATTAAAAATTAATTTATATAATTGATATTTTATGTTTGGCTAAACACTTTTATATTCAGTATTTAGTGAAACGAATATTGTTAAACTAATTAAAATATTAATCTGAAAATTTCAATATTTCTTTATTTGTCTAATAAAGAAAGAGTTAAACCGTGTAACACGACACTAGCAAGAAAAATAAAAGTACAAATAGGTAATGAGAAACAACGAGGGAAAGTGTTAGCGTATAAATGTCATAATTCTCTAAGAAGACAGACAAACAGACGTACGAAAATTTTAATCATTAATGAATAGCTTATTTTTATAAACAACTTGAGTCGACATGTTACAGAGAAAATAAACATTTTTATTACTTTTATTTAAAAAACACGAAATTTATTTAAAGCGAGGAAATAAAATGACATACTTAACTAAAAATACATAAATATTTAATTTATTTGTTAATAATATATAGTTTAGAAAAATGAATGTTTGCAAGAAACAAAAGTCACAATAGTACAGAATTAGGTTAAAATAATAAAATACATTAAACTAACCTCATTGACAATACACGCTGTAAAATTATATACATCAATATTCTTTAAAATATCAGCCACAACTCGGACAGCAGTATAATCAAAGTTGTATGGAGCAATACCATTTTGTCCATCCCCTGTACTACCTATGACATCTAAAACGCCACCTGACAAAGAAGGCAGTTGTTTTGAAACCTCTTCAACTATTCGTTTGTCTTGATTTCCTGCAGCAAACGAAACATCTTTCCTTATTCCATTCTTTGACGCTTTGCTGTTTTCTACGGTTGCAATTCCTGAAGTAAATAAATAAGTAAAGTTTAATTAACGAAAATTATTTTTGTCAAACTAACAAATCCGACGTATATTTAATAAAAAGTTCACAGAACATTTAAAATTGTGAGTAAAATAATTTTAATTCATTTAACTAGTTTTCAACAAGTATCATTTAAAAAATTTCACCTAGAATATAAAAAAACAACAATATAAAATTGATGTTTAAGCATTCAAGACTAAATATTAAATTATCAATTTAAAAATATAAATATTATTGAAAATTGTTAACTTACCGATAAGAACCACGAAAAACGCGATGATTTTCATGTTGCTTTCGGTTTGTCGCTGGCCGAAATATGCTTGGACGACCGTTTTCCATGCCTTTCTATAACTAAGTTCTATGTTGAGTAATGCTATTTCTCCTCCTACCTGTCAATCCAAAATTTTGACATTGCAGATGGTATTTCCAGTTTCGAATCCAATGAAATTACTTCATTTATTTACGTGGATGTTACGCTTCTTCTTTCGTATTATTAGGTTTCAGGTGGTTATGCTTTACAGACCTACACGGAATATCTTTTTTATTTAATTTAAATCACCGGCAGTCAGTGTCAATTCTTTTCTAAGTATTTAAATGTATTTATTCAACTAAAATAAAAATGTATTTATTATATACAGAAACTTTAAAAACTTTACACAAACTTATCCGTGCTCTCTGCAATAAAATTTGCGAAACTACTTGTACGTTTTCCGACTTACTATTGCCCAATACGCACCTTTCCTGGTGTCCAAAATGCAAACACTTCTATCAGGTTTAAAGCCATCTTAACACTCACGTTATTAGATCCAACCCGCATATTGATAGATCTATTTGCTTCGAACATCAACTGTAGTTTTACTAGTAAAATACTGCTTCAATACACTCACCATCCGTTTCTTGCAGTATACATCTAGAGAGAAATGAAGGTGGTAGACAAACCTTCACGCCTTTGTCTCTCAGATGAGTATTATAAATTTTCTAAAACATTAATAATACATACCTGGAAAAAAGTTATAACAACATGTTAAAAAATCATTCGTATGTCAAGAATGTCAACAACTTAATATTTGAAGATTTTCGAATATAACTAATTAGAACAACAGATAAATATAAGTGTAAAACACAAACTGGTAGTAGAACATTGCAGCTTGTAGAGTTTCATCAAACGAAATAGCTGTAATTTATTAATAAAATATAAAGAATAAGCTATTCGAATTGGTTCCAAAATGTAAACTGTATAGCAGACGATGAAGAAGTTGTTAAACAATTAGAAGCACTTTCAAATTTCTGTGTTACAGAACTGGACAAAAAAACTTTGCTATAAATTAGTTTACAACATAATACTGTAAGTAGTAATTCTTGTTACACGTTATGCTTGTGAAAATAAACTCGAAAAATTCCACTTGACCAATCCGTCATTCAGGAAGACCCATGACCTATTCGAATTGTTGAACAATTGTGTCAACACTGTCACAAATAGGCAATTTGAAAAAGTATCCTCAACTTATATAAACATTTTTTCTAATTCTTAAATTAAGCTATTTTAAAACACGAATAATTTATAAGGTTTTCTAAAATTGAAAAGACATATTGGTATATTTGGTAAATTAAACATAATAAACTGGATTTTTTTCAATTAAAAGTATATTAGACACGTATAATAATATAATTTAGATCAGGTTTAGGTTGTCTGAATAAGTAACAATTGATTCCTGCACATAAGTAAAAATTTTAATATTTCAGACATTTTTTCATAGAAAATATTTCACCTAATATAAAATCCTTATCATTTCTAAAATTTGTTTTAAATTATTTTTATAAAATTAGTAAAATATAAGCTTTATTCTTAATTGCGTTGCTGGTTTTGTTTAGTAAATCAACATAGTCAAAACAGAAACACCTGGAATAACTGTTTCAAGCCACGTCATCAATGGCGCCACAATCGTACAGACGTATGATTGTCCCGCCATTGATGACGTGCGTAGACTGCAAATTAAGTTAAAATAAAGTACATAAGTATTTTTCAAAAAATAATTACGTTAATGAAAGATAACATTAATATTCTAGTAGTTTGAAACATTCAATTCCATCTACAGGGCATGGAAATTCAAATTTTAACACAAAGTCGCTCTGGTTTATTTAAATGTCAACGTAACAAAACTTAAGTTAGAAATTTAAAACTTTTTCAGAAAATATCTAAGAATAGTGATACAAGATTATTTGCTCACACACTGGAATATATTTTTTTAGCTGGAAATGTAAAAAGCAGGATATAAATATATTTATAATTACAGTTTATCAAATACTATAAATCGTAATTAATAATATTCGGTATTAAAATTATAAGAAAAGCATGAATTTATGTTGATATTTCGGGAATAATTTATGTTTTAATAATATAATTTAAATATTATAAATTGCATTTATTCGAATAATTAAACATGACTTTTATAAATGCAAATTATATGTAGGTGGGGAAATATGTAAAAGCAGTTAATAACGAACAACTGTTACACGTGGCTGACCTAAAACTGAAAAATTCGATTTAAGATAATTTTTAAATTTAATTCGTTTTAATATTATTTTAATTAAATTAAAATTTGGATTTTTTAATATTTTCACTTAATTCAGAATATTAGAAAATAAACGAATTTAATATAGGATATTATAGTTTTAAGAAATTTCAATTTCAATAAATATAAAATAAATAATAATAAATTTGTAATAACATAATTGTAAATATGATTTATTATAAATAAATAACTAAACAAATGGTGTAATAAGAGTTTAATAAACAGTTTTTAGTTCCGAAACTGTAAAGCAAGATTCAACTTCATCATATCAACCAACGTAGAGGTGACGATGTTATATAAAGCATTTAAGTTATTAACGTCACAAAATAAAATTTTGCTGATATAAATTTGATAAAGTTTACTTTAAGATTTTCAGTATTATAAAGATTTATTAATGAAGCATTTTATTTCTATTAAAACTTAGTCGCTTTAAATTCGGATCACTTAAATTCTACAAGTAACACAAGTGAGTAAACCTAAATTTATGAAACATGTAAGTTTTAAAAAATCCACTTTATTAATTTTGTAAAAAAATAGAAAGGGCGCGTGCAGTTAGTGTATTTCAATCGTAGAGGCCTTGGTCAGTCTGGGGATTAGCTCTAATTCATGTGTGAACTGCCGGGAGGTTGGAAAGTCCTCTCTTTTCCGACAGTTTGTCAAGGAAGTTTCTTGTCAAGGAGGGTAGTAACGTTCGGTTACGCGTTACTCGAGTGGAGGAGAGTCAGAGGGGTCGACGATAAGACGTTGGCTAAGTAGAGTAAAGACTCCATTTAAAAACAAAACAACAGTTTATTACAATCATCTGCGGGAAAAAATTACAAACCTAATTACTCTAAGTTCTGTTATAACAACCTATCCTGCAACTGCGCACATGGCGGAGAGAGAGTTTACAAATATGCGTTCATACCTCTTTGCATATACTAGTGGGATATTCTCCCGTGTTGTCGTCCAAATGGATTCTGAGCGGTGACATATTGTAACAATGAAGAAATCTTCTATCAGAAGGGTAGACTGAATGATTCCTGCACGGTTATTCAGGCTGAAATGCTGGGAATTCACCTGGCAATTCTCTGGTCTGAACTTTATTGTAACCATAAAATTATTCATGTTGTAAGTGACTCTTTTTCTGCTGTAGAACTCATTCATAGCAGAAAATTGCACCCCATTGCAACAGACATACGTACTCTCATTTTCAATTCCAATAACATGTACAGTATTACTTGGGTACGTGGTCACCATGGGATAGCTGGTAACGAAAGAGCTGATCAACTTGCAAAAGAAGCTGCGACTGATACACATTCCGATATTATATATAACAAGATCAGTCATAGAACGACTAAAAAATTACTATATGACGACCTCATATATCGTTGGCAGCATACTTGGGACCAAAAACATAATGTCGTAACCTACAAATTTATACCCTGCATTACAGATTACCTCAAGAAGCGTAAATGGACCTTTCTCAGTACACATATTACTCAATTTCTTACCGGTCATGGTAAGTTTTCTATCTACTTACAAAGGTTCACTGGTAAACAAACTTCTTTCTGTTCCATCTGTAATCAGCCTGATGGTGTCGATCATTATCTTTTCGAATGTATCTCATTGGAAGCTGAACGCTTGGCCTTAGAATTTACTGTTAAAAGTTACAACTTAAACTGGCCATGTAAGCATGAAGAGCTGTTAATGAATAAAGAGATCTTCAAATCATTTTACAGACTAGTCAAACAGCATGCTATTATTGCACCAACTGCTACCAGAGAATAGCTTACTACCGTTTCTTCTGAACTTCACACCATCCAACCTGATAAATCTGATGGAATCAATGAAAATTCCGATAAACTGACTCCTGATTTTTTTTGTTCTTGCTTTAATCAATTACTACATAAGTTACCATGAATCAATCTACACATGAAATACTTTTGACCTCGTCTAATTCTTGTTCTGCAAGTGCATTTTGTGTTCGGTAAGTACTCCTGTACTCTAGGTGTCTTGGAGATCCTTATGGACAAGTTTACTCTGAGGAGTATTTGTGGTTCCTCCCTGACAGACTAATTTCAAGAGAATATGGAGTTATTCCTGGCGGTTCTGTCCTGCAAGACTTGTTCTGCAAAACTTGTTCTACAAGTACTCAAGATGTCTTGGAGGCCCTTATGGACAAGTTTACTCCAAGGAGTTTTGCGGTACCTCCATAACGGTCTTATTTCAAGAGAATATGGAGTTACTCCCGGTGTTTTCTCTGCACACTTTTCCTCTATATTATTTCATTGAACTTTCTCTTAGCTTTAATTTTAGTTATTAAGTTTATTTTTCTTATGTTAGTTATTAAGTTCTAAATACTCTGTCTGCAATATTTTCTACATATGATAACTCTGTATACATTGCTATTCTTTAATAATATTTCATTGTTATTCTGTATTAATGTTATTAATGTATTGATTATTCTCTCTGAAATATTTTGTATTTAACTGACAGTTTTGTATACACTGTTAATATGTACTATTGTAAATGTATATAATTTTTCTCAGCTGTGCTCTTGCGGTGCTGAGTATGTGCCTCGAGCACCTAATAAAAACGATTGATTGATTGGGCAATGACACAAGTGTATGTCTGTGACGGAAGTGTAGGTCTGCGATGGGGAAGGCGATGACCGATTTTGACGTTCGGTAATTCCCCCGAGAGGGAAAGAAGGATGGCTTTTATACTTTTTGTGGTGGGAAAATTAGTCAGGTGATCAATTGTTTTAGCAGGTGTGG